AAAAAAAACCCACCATAAGTTTTATGCAGGGGTCCTCATGGCCAGCTGGCTTGGCCAAGGACACCTTGAGTGCCAGAGGCAGTGGAGGAGCCCCAAGAGGTTTGGAAAGGGCTGCAGAACAGCAGAGAAAGGTCTCTCACACCCTCTTCCCACTAACACTCCGCTTTTCCAACTCTTTTTGACAGTCCTGGGGACAAAATGCGGCCACCCCGCAAGTGACAGAGAAGAGGCGAGCTTGCCGAAGCACAGCGCGCGAGGTCTCTGCGGAAGGCTCAAACCGAAGGCCAAGTGCTCACGGCACACAGCACGGGTCGGAAACAAGCTGAACAGCAGGCTTTACTTACACTTTATACACAGCATATAAAATCTCTGAGCAGAAGAGGAGCCATATGGAAACAGTTCTGTGACAGGAATTTTAGCGCAATAAATCTATACATTTGGCCTTATCATTCTCTGGCATATTCAAGGGTACCATGTGTGTGCGCTTGTGTTGGGGAGGGGGGCAGGATTTGCCTTAAAAACTGATGAATATGGTAAGATATACGAGGAAAAAAAAAAAACAATAATCAAACCCAAAGGCAGCATTTCTGTTCTGCTTGTGACAGTGTTTGCTTAGAAGCCTGAAGAGGAGGATGAATGAATCAGACAGCGAGCAGGAGCAATGTACACCAAAAGCAGATAAAGAAAATACTTCACATAGAATAAAACATGTTCTACGGGCCAACTCTGTATACAACTTGGTGAGTAATGAAACACTAGAATTAAAACACAATTAAGTGCCTAACCTATGTCATCATTGTCAGCGTGCAACAAATGGCCAGAAGCCTACAATCTTGTTCAAAGCTGTGAATCAACATGGACTTCACACCTCCACTAAGTGTCATTTTAATCCTGTTAATAAGCAACTCCTAAAGCTGCTTTTTGGCAGGCTGGGTGAAATATGAATGAATACAGTGACCCAAAGCACTGTCCTGGGGTCTTTTAAATTGCCTTTAACACGCGTCTCCAGGCAGATAGCACAGGACATACCTTCACAGGACTTGGCATCCCTCTTCAGCTGGTAGCCCATCTGGCACTGGCACTTGTAGTGGTCCTTATCGAGCTGCACGCACTCCTGCTCACAGCCCCCCTTGTCAGCACTGCAGGAATTGACAGCTGGAGCCAAGGAAGCATTGAAGGAATGCATGTCAGCAACCCAAGAAACTTATTTCCTATTTTAAATACATAAATGACAGTAAAAATAACACAAACCTCGCTGAACAGCTTTCGTAAATGCACCTGTCCACATCCCCTCTGTGATTACTCCCCCTTGTATTCACGGTGTTCGTCTGATCAGCAAGCAGAACACAGCGACCCACGGCAGCACGAGCCCGTGGTTCCAGCGAGAGGCAGTGAGATCTAAGAGCTGCAATGCTGACTGAAGTACAGCCACCCTTTGATGTGACAGCAGCAAAGCACTGAAGAATCCACTCAGGTAAGGATGAAAATTAGAAAAACCAAAAACAGTGGCCCCACCAGCACTTGCCTATTTTTTTTTTTTTTATCCCTGCTATCATTGATGAAAAAAAAAAATAAAATTGTCTTTTAGGCTTACTTCCTCAGCCTCATGCATAGGGTGCTGCAAATGACAGGAGTCACAAGCTCTGCAGGACAGACTTACAAAGTAAACCACAAGGAAGAAGAGACGCTTTAGTACATCCCTAAAGATGCTTCTTCTTTTACTCAGGCAAATTAATTATTCTTTTTTGTTCAACATACATCTCTGGCCTCTGGAGAAACATTTCTCCTCCTGCCAAAATACGTTAACACACACCCACACCTATTCGCACACTGCATATAAAAATAAGATAGATCATTTGAGGCTGTTATTGTGCTGTATGTATGCAAGTGTGTGTGCATGACTGCATCTATATATATATTTTAGCAGCAGGGATGTATTATGTTCTCCGTGAGTAGCTGGGAAGACTATTTGGTCCTTCACAGAAGGCATGAAACTCTGGACTTAATGAAGTCAGCATAGAGCTTTCATATTTATTTTAGGAATATTAATATTAATTTAATTCTCTGTAATAGACATTAAGAAAACATCAGCCACAAAAGCTAGGACGCATTTTACCCTATGCTACCAACTAGCACATACTTAGTTTGTGCAGTCAAGCATGCGTTAAAAAGACAAAAAGAAAAGCAAATTTTTACATTATCATGGATGCATACACAGCAGTATCCAGGAGAACTCTGGCTTCTGATCTCCACCTGTGTCTGCAAACCTCCTGCCCGGTTAGCCATGTAATTTGAAAGCAGCTCAACTTCTACACGGGAGACAGCAGACCCGATACACTCAAAGCTTCCTGCCTGCTGTACATTTGCATCCAAAGACCTGTTTTTCAGCAAGAATATTCAAATCAGATGAAAATATTTCAGAACATGAAAAATGTCTTAAATCAGCTCCAAGCAACAGAATACACATCTTGATTTTTTTGAAGTGCCATTTTCTCCCTCCTTTTCTGGGCACAAGCCAATCTGGATGCAAGGTGAGATAAGCAGCGACCTGCCGTACCAAGAATTTCGTAGGCTTCAAAGCCAGAAGGGGACAGGCGTGAACTCCTGCTCCGGCAGGGCTGTGGAGCCCAGTCCCTGCGGGGCTATGACAGCGGCCGCAGAGTGAGGGACTGCGGCCAGGCTGATCACGCTTGCTGCCGAGACATTGTGCAGGCTATGAGAGAGGAGGTGTCAGACTGAATGAGATGCTGGGGAAGGAACAGGACGAACCGCACTTGTACTGCCAGGCACTAGCAATGGATCTTTCATCAGAAAAAGGGAGAGACTTGGCATGTTGTGAGTCTAATTCCACCAGTTTTTTTTTTATAATAATGCTCGTATCTATACAAAAAAACCTGAGTATGATGCCACGGTTGCATGTATATGTAGCAACCATGGCATCAGAACATGCAGGCTCTTCAAACCTATGTTTTCCATCATCTTAAATCCAACCTTATCAATGACAAAAAATGTAACTTCAGACATATCGTGCTTTTACTTACGTGGAAAAAAACAGATTAGAGATTTGTAGAGATATTTTCTTTGTTACTTCCTCTATGAAGAGCCCTAGTCTCCATAAAAACACGCATCTCAATGACTTTTCTGCATAAGGCAGACATCAAAGATAACAGCTGGCACCAAAGATGAATCAGGCTCTAAAGACTATGCTTGTGCTTTCACTTCTAGGAGTTCAAAGAAGAATAAATTCCAGTGAAGACAAAGAATTTACATCAATCCAAAACCACAGCACAATACTACAATAAACGTTCTCTGTCTGAACTTCTGCTTTCCAGACACCAGTTGGTTAAACTTTAATGAAATTAAATTCATTACATTAATATAATCAAGGCACTAAAAACAAAACAAAACAAAAATCAGTGTTAACTTTGGTTATTCTAATTACCTAATTTGTAGTGAATGTTCAGTCTGGCACATATATCTAAAAATGCATTAAATATTGAGCAAAATTTATGGGACCAAAAAACTAAGAAAGAAAAGGAGCACTGAAAAAGATGGGATGCAGCATGGCACAAAATATCAGAGATCAAAGGATTCAAGAAGAAAATATTTTACTTTCACTGAACAAGTCAAGCCATTTTAGAGGTTGTTTGCCTTAGAATACAAGCAGAAACTTCTAATGTTTGCCTTAGAGTACAAGCAGAAGCAGGAGGAATGACAAGCAACAAACAGATTTCTTCAAACTATATACTTGGAGGATCATACTAGTGGTGGGGGGATGGACCACCAGCTGTTCGTTAGGATCCGAACACACTGATGACACAGTAGGACTGGACTCACTGGAAAGAGCTTGTGGCAGAAGTTCAGGAATCTTCCATGCAATCATATGAAAAAGCAGCTTATTCCAGGTTTTTGACTCTTCAGATGTAGGCTGAATATCTTATAAGAAGATAAATCCACTTCCTCATGTATGGGAGACTTCCAAGCCATCTAGGCTGCAAAATCTGCTTCCCTCAAGTGATTTTGGCACTTTTGCTCCAGAAACAGAGAGTTGCCAAAAAGAAAAAGAAGATGGG